CGCGTCGTCCTCGTCACTTGACTGTGATTCAAAATCATTAAGTTCTTCGCCAATAGCTCTCACGGCGCTTATAGTGCCACATTAATAAATCTCTCACTCGTGAGTGAGTGAATATTAATGTCACACTGTTCAGCTACACGAGGACTTTCGGTGACGGACCACGTAAGTTGAACCATGGCCCCCTTTCATAACTACCACACGAACGGGAGGACGTTAGAGCTCTCGACAGATTTAACGCGCTTCACGCCCCTACACGGCAGGTCTTAGGCGGTACTGGGCTCGAACTTGTGACATGCCAGCCACGATCCAACACCTTGACCACTAGGCTACCATGGCCATAACTCTCACTCTTGTGAGAGAGACTATAAATTAGACTTCTTTCTAAGAATGGATAAATCAACTTAACACGTCACACTTAAAAACTCTTTTTCTCTATACTGTTCAGTCAATTTATTTTTTTGTTTCAAATTCTTTGTCTTAGGATAACTATGAGGAAGAATTTAAAGTGTTATGACTAGCAAATCATTTTTAAGAATTTTTTACCTTTAAAAATTCTCTCGAGGAGTTGGATTTGTAAAAAGTTTATATGTGCTTTATTGTACACAAATAATACACATTTCTGAAATTAAACCAAATGAACACTGTTGGAATAAAATAAAAAGTTATTACTTTTTCATCGATTTCATTGTATTTTTTGTCGTATATTTTTTTTCATAAAACACAATTTAAAACAAATTAATGAAAATAGTTATAATTTTTATTATTTTATGCCTTAATTATAAGTTTTCTTCCTGTCCACAGACTGTAAATTCATTTTCCGCTGGCTTAGAATCAATCCCATTATTTCGCTTCTCAGTCGTTAGAGGACGCGAACCCCCCTTATTTCGAAAATATCACACAATCATGAAATATTAAGGGGCTTTCATATCTTAAGAATTCTCCCATTGTCATAAAGAGAAATATGATATGTAGTCTCGAATAATCTCTCTCCCGAATACGTGGCCGCGGTAGCCAAGTGGTATAGGTATCGGACCGTGGCTTACCTTGTCATGAGTTCGAGCCCAGTACCATTAAAGACCCGCCGTGTAGGGCAGCGATGCACGTTAAATCTGTCGAGAGCTGAAACGTCCTCCCGTTGGTGTGGTGTGGTAGTTAGGAGAGGGGGGTGCCAGCTCAGGTGTCGTCCAAGTCACTTGACCATGGTTCAAAATTACGTGGTCCGTCAACAAAAGCCCTCGTGTAGCTGAACAGTGCGACGTTAATATTCAATCAATCGATCTCTCCCGAATACAACTGTTGTGTTAGGAGGGTGGATGGCAGGTTGAAGAATCGAGGTTTCAATCCAGGGGCGTAGCTACCGCCTTATCAGCCATATCAATGATACGGGGCCCCCAAGCTACAGGGACCCTAACATGTGCAACTACAGTACCACTACCAGGGCTTTCTTTTCTAAAAAGGGCCCCGAAGAAGTTTTGATACCGGGCCCACTCAGAACTAACAACGCCAGTGTTTCAATCTTCGATTTCACACGAATACTTAAGGAGCTAAGCACATTAAATCAAATTTCTTCTCAAAACACTGTCGCAGTGTGATGGGAAAGAGTGTTAAAACAGCAAAAAGTTTGCTCGTGTCATTTTGCGCTGCTGGGGAGTGAAAGCGAATATATTAACGTCGCACTATAAAGCTGCACGAGGGCTATCGGCAATGGACCTCGTCATTTTGAACCTTGGTCAAGTGACGACGACGATACTTGAACTGGTGCCCTCTTTCCTAATCTCCACATCACGCCAATGGGAGGACATATGATCCTCTACAGATTTAAAGTGCAATAGACCCCTCTAGATGGCTTATCTTCAGGGGCACAATGCTCGAACTCATGACACACCAGCCACGAGTCCGTGAGCTTGACCACTAGACTGCTGACTTGAAATGGTTACGTGAACTGATAGTGGCTTTATATGATTTTGTTGCTGAGAAGGATTATGAGAAGCAATATAAATTATTGATTACGAAACCGGTAGCCGAATGATCATGGTCTCCCGCTTATAGTTGATACCGCTCAAGACTCACCGTGTAAGAGGGTTAAGCCGCATTCACACCAAGGCAGTCAGCGTCAAGCGTTGAGCGTCTAGCCAATCAGAGACTTGATCTCGGGCGAGATGAAGTCTCTGATTGGCTCGACGCTCAACGCTCACAGCCTTGGTGTGAATGCAGTTTTAATGAACGGGAAATCAATCGATGCTCAAAGTCCTCGTGTTGACATGATGTGGAAGCTCGGAGAGGGGGGAGGGGTGCCAAATCATATTTCGTCCTTGTCACTTGATCGAGGTTCGGAATTACGTAATTTATGTCAATACCCTTGTGTTTCTTCTGTTAATAAAGAGCTGATATTATACATTAAAAGTGAATATTGAAAACACAGATACAAATTGTATGAATAAAACTAACCAATCTGATTTCCATAAATACTTTTTGGACGGATTCATTCATTGTTTAAAAACGTCGCACTCATTACTATTTGAAGGCTAATGTCAATGGACCTGGTAATTTTGAGGCACGACCAAGTGATGAGAACTAAACCTGAGCCGGCACTCCAGTCTCTAAACTTCCACTTCATGTCAAATGAGAGATTTGAGCTCCGACAAACTTTATGTTCATCTGCGGGTAGTCTCCAGTGGCAAGAAGACTTGAATGAGTGAATATTAACGTCGCACTGCTCATCTAAACTAGGGCTTTTGGCAACGGGCCTCGTGATTTTTGAACCATGCTCAAGTGACGTGGATGACACCTGAGCTGGCACCCCCTCGCCTAACTACCACACCACACCAACGGGAGGACATTTCAGCTCTCGACAGATTTAACGTGCATCGCTACCCTACATGGTGGATCCTTAGTGGTACTAGGCTCGAACTCGTGACAAAGCCAGCCACGATCCAATACCTATAATACTCGGCTACCACAGCCGCAAGTCTTGCACTCTCATGACCTTAATATATAATCCCGGTTATAAGTTCGTGAGCATGACTACTAGAGGAGTAACGGAGAATATTAGCCCCCCC